AAGAAGAATATTAGAGAGGTAATCAGCAAAATAAAAGTAGTGGGGTAGTATCCTTGGATCTAAATGGCTAACAGTATCTTATCTTATCAGTCAGTACTGTAGCTTCTTGTAGCTTAGTGCTTCATATTATAGTGCTCTTTTACTGATTGCTAGTTATTGTTTCTGCATATATCGTAAATGTGTGAAAACAATAAGCACGAAGTTAAAAATTTTTTCAATGTAATTAGACGTGGCCAATTCGGATGAAATTTTAATTTCGCTAATATTAGCTTTTTATGTGAGGCTTGGTAATGGATAATGGTTTTTTAAATGTAATTTTTTTGTCTTATGTTATTAGTTATGTTACATTTTCTTTTTTTATTACTTTTCATTGGTTTAGAATTAACCATAATTTTAGTTGCAAATTACGTTGATTTTGATGAGTTTGATCTTTCTTAAAATTCAAAATTAACAAATTATTTTGTTTTATTACTTGGTGGGTAACATATATTGTAGAAGAAATTTTGATCCCATCTTATCTCATTTTTTTACGACTGACCGGATGCCTTTGCTTAGTGTTTTAGTTGGGAATATGTTCATTTAGTTAAGCGTAGGGTGCTGTTTACTAAAATTTAATTATTTTGAATAGTAAATTGGTGTCGGTGTAACAATGTGGTTAAAAATATTGCGTACGATAACAACACAGTTGTATTGTTTTAATGATCTAACACATTTGTGCGTTGTTGTTTCGGTTACGGTGCCAGCGTAATACGTTTTTATGTAACCAATGCTGCTGGCAACAGTCGCAGAAGCGGAAAGATCCTTAGGTGTTTTTCTCGCATAAAAAATGCTATGAGATTTACAATAAAGCAGGATCCGTTGACTGTCTAGCAACTTAGTGCATTGAGCATTATTTGGTAACATCATGTGATTTTTCGAAAACTATAGACACCTTTCCTAAAGAATGATATATTACCTAAAGAATGACTTCTATCAACATTCGTGACTATACCGAAAAAAAAACGCCAGACAATATTGCGATCACCGTACCATCAGTCTAATGTGCTACGTACTAAGAGTATCTCTAAAGGTTATTCAACCTAGAATATATAAAAAGTTAGAACAAGACATTGGACAAACTCAGTTCGGATTTAGAAATGCCCAAAGAACCAGAGAAGCATTATATGAAGTAAACGTGCTAATACAGAAATGTTTAGATGTAAATCAGGACATCTATGTCTGCTTCCTAGATTATAACAAGGCATTTGATACAGTGAAACGTAATCCGTTAATAAAACTACTGAAAACAAAGAACATTGACACACGGGATATGAGAATAATAAATAATCTGTATTATTTGGTGTTAGACAAGGCTGTGTCTTGTCGCCATCACTGTTTAATGCATACTCAGGGGAAATATTCAAAAAAGCATTAGAAGACGAAGTAGTTGGCATAAAAATAAATGGCCTACCCATACGTGAAATTAGATAAGCTGACGATACAATACTAATAGCAAAAAATATTACAGATTTACAAAGAATTTTAGATAAGGTTGTTGCAGCGAGTGAAGAATTTGGTCTGTCACTAAACATAAAGAAAACAAAATTCATGGTTATATCAAAGAAAAATATTGGATACATCAATATACAAGTACATAATAAGACGATAAAACGAGTTCCGCGTTATAACTATTTAGGAACAAACATTAATGAAACAAAGCATTATACCAAAGAAATTAGAGTTAGAATCTTAGAAATCTTAAGATCTTAAATCTTAGAAAACGAATATTAAAGTGTTATGTATTTTCTGGTTTTTTGCATGGTTTGGAGACATGGACTTTAAATAAACAATGTCTCATTAATTTGGAAGCATTTGAAATGTGGACACATTGAAAAATGCTAAGAATCTCCTGGACAGTCAAAATAACCAATGAAGAAGTACTAAGAAGTATAGAAAACAACAGGAAGATACTGGATTCCATCAAAATAAGAAAACTACAATATCTGGGTCATATAACACGTGGTGACAGATATGAATTCCTAAAACTCATAATGCAGGGAAAGATTCAAGGAAAGCGGATAGGTAGAAGAAGAATGTCCTGGCTGAGAAACCTCAGAGAATGGTTTGGATGCAGCTCAACTGAACTCTTTTGGGCTGTAATGTCAAAAGTTAGAATAGCAGTGATGATTGCCAACCTTCGTCGCGGAAATGGCCCGTAAAGAAGATAGACATCTTTGCCAATAAGAAAACACAAAAAGTACATTCTAAAATTATTTTACTTTTTGTTGCTCTTCACTTTTTGCCGGGACCCGCTATTCACTTTTTACCGGGGCCCGCTCATCTTTCTCGGCGGTCCTGTCTCTGACGGAAGACATTTAAAACTCTGAGAATAAATCCCTCAAAACATGTGAGTGATATCATTTTATTACCTTATAAGGAAAATCATATAATACATTTTTTATCACTTTTAATACACATATCAAAAGAAATAGTGCACTAAAAATGGCGTCGGAAACAATTGTCTGTATATTATATTATAATAACTGTTATCTGAACACTAGTGTTATTAATACCGAGTCTATAATTCACGATAGATACTGGCAGCAGCTCCATGATGTAATTGCTTTCATAAGCTTGCGAAAATGAAATAGAAGTGAGCTTTCATAGGTTTTGCCAACTGGTTTTTTGGTCTAATGCCCAGTACCCAAATCGACAAAGAGATATGTTTGCTTTGCATGGACTTCTTCCTCTTATGGTGCCCTATCCAATTAGTGAATGTTACCGACAATTCTGACATATATACTTAAGTTTTTCAGCCATGAGTATTTCTTCCGATGCCCCGTTTTCCCTCTATCTTCCCTTTCATAATAAGCTTTAAGAACTGGTACTTGAAATTTCAAAATATATGACCCTGATAAGCAGTTTTCTTCTTTTTATTATTGGCAGCAATTCTCGTTCTCTGCCCATTCGATTTAATACTTCGACATTTGTTGTATGATCTGTCCAGGGATTTTAAGCAGTCTTCTAAATACCCACATTTCAAAGCCTCCAATCGGTTCATCACATTAGCCTTTATGGTCCAGGTTTCTACACCATATAGCAATGGACTAAATGTAAAATTTTACAAAGCGATATCGAAGCGTTAAGTTAAGGCTGCTGTTGCTTAGTAAGGTTCTCATATTAGTAAATGCTGTTCTGGCTTGCTCAATCCTGCTACGTATCTCTATGTCTGGATCTAGATCTCCAGTTATCCAACTACCAAGATATCTGAACTCGGGAACCTTTGGGCGTTCTTATTGTTAACTCTTATAATATGTAATGTCATATTTCGTGTTCTACTAACCTCCATTACCTTCGTCTTGTCTATATTAATCTTCAAGCCTAGTCGTTCTCCTTCAGTGTTTATTTTATCTATTAGACGTTGTAGCGCTTCTTGGCTATCAGCTATTATGACTGTATGATCAGCATAGCGAAGATTAGTAAGTCTGTCAGTTGATTTTGATTCCATCTTCAGTGTCACTTGAAGCTCTATGGAAAAGCGTTTCAGAGTAAAGATTAAAAAGGAGAGGTGGCAGAACACAACCCTGTCGTACACCTTTTTCGATTGAAAAATATGATGTAGATTCCAGTCCTACTCTCACAAATGCCACTTGATTCATATAAAGGTTCTTTAGGATTTAAGGTCATTCTCATCTATCGAACATTTCTGAAGCAATCTTACTAATTCTAAATGATAACACAATCGAACGCTTTCTGTTAATCTATAAAGCATAGGAAGACATATTTTTGCTGATCTCTGCATGTTTAAAGTAGGACAGTTAAGCTATAAAGTGCTTAACTGTCCGGGGCTAAACCGAACTGTATGGGGCTAATTTCTCTTTCACATCTGTTGTATATTCTTGTGTGAATTACCTTTAAGAAGAGTTTTAGGACCTGGCTCAATAAGCTGATTATTCTTAATTGGTCGCAATTGTTAGCATTTGGCTTTTTTGGAATTGGTATAAAGGTTGATTGAAGCCAATCCTGTGGTATTAGACCGGACCCATTAATGGCCCATTAAAAAGATCTACCAAGGCGTCTATATTGTCTTCACTCAAAATTGTTAGAACCTCTATGTATATGTCGTCTGGATCAGGTACTTTTCCCCATTTGCTCTGTTTGATCGCCCTTACAACTTCTGACTTCAAAATTTTGGGGCAGGGTTCACCTTTATATTCACTTTCAGAGTTTCTTCCAGTGTTGTCTGAGTATAGTTGCTGTTTGTAGTTTCTCGAATGTTGAAGTAGATCCTTGGGCTCAGTAATTAATTGATTGTCCTTCAGAATACTGTTAAAACTGTAAGGTTTTGTATGATCTGTCACTTCTTTAACGAGTTTATGTATATTTAAGTGGTCATGTTTTTCTTACAATTCCTCCATTTCTGCACACCTGTCTAGCAGGCACTGTTCTTTAGCTTTGCGACACTCTTTTCGTATTTGTCGGTTAATCTGCTGATGGTTCGGTCTTTGTTTTTAAATGATCTGCGTGGACAATGGAGATTAAAACTGGTACGCGTCTATTATTGCCTTAATAATGATCTTTACTTCCCAAAGAATGTGTTAACAATACAAGCTATTAAAAATTAATTAATATAGATAAGCTATCGACAATGAGTTTTTGATATATTTTACATTTTTTATAGCATTTTTCTTTCGACAATGCAACTCTCTATTTTTACATCAATGATTGCATCATTCTTTAGTTGAAACCAAAGTGAATCTTTTATACAACCGTAGGGAATTTTTGTGTGCGCGCGTATATTTCAGTGCTATGATTCTTAAATCCGATACTGATGCGCCGCTCGGGGAAAACCGGCAACGTGGTCGACTATTCTCAAGTAAGAAATACATTGCTTATCTTACCTGCTCTGCATTCTAAATGTGGGTTCTACTATAGTATTAATAATACTGGGTGTGATATTAATAACACATTGAAAAACATTAGTAAAGTAATACTGAGCGAAGTTTAATAAAAACACCATATTGTAAAACGATTAATGTATTTCCATAAACTTTGACAAATCAAAGATTCGTTCTCACGACATTCGGTACAAAAATAAATACTTTTATTTACAAACACGGCAGTGTTGTTTACTGTCAGTGAGAATTTATCATTCCTAATATAGTCGAAATTATTTTTTCTCCTTTATCGTGATGAAGTAGATTCAATAGAGGATCTCGAATTTTTTCTTCCAAAAGATTGAACAGTTCCATCCTAATGAATTTGATCATTTCAGCTATTTTGTGCTCGTCCACTTGGAAAACTACCCAACCGTCTTCCAAGACGATGAAAGTGTTACCGCCTTGAACGTTGATGTTCAAGTCATACGAGGAGAATAGTATAAGAGGTAGAACAGGAACCATGGTACATTCTCTGAAGAATACTTTACTGGTTTGGATTTTTTCTTGGTAGACTAGATATGGACTGGGAAAGTTCCTCACACTGTAGTTTATAGAGCTTGGATGCATAAATACCTAAAAAATATTAATTTTTAAAACATTTTTTTTTTATTTTTAATAGACTGGAAGATATTAATCTGAAGTTCATGTCTTTTTCATTTTTTATGCCTCTGAAGGAAGATACATAAAAAATTTTTTGGACAAAAATCTCTTGTGAGAATCAATTTTTTTAAATAAACCAATAAACCTTTTGCCTTTACAGAAGAGTTAAATTTGGCAATCTCATCAATGAAAAACTCATCTGCATGTGCTGATGATATCCCGTCTATCTTTCTCAAACATCTATAGGCAGGAACCCTCTTGAAGCTACTTGCCTTCTATAATAACATACGGTTTAGCCAAACATTTTCGATTCTTTGTTATCACTCGCTTACCACACCGATTAGAAAAAATGACTCATCTTCTAACGCTGCCAGTGCCTACAGCCCAATCTGACTAACATGCACAATGTGCAAACTACTAGAATCACAGTTGCCTTAGACTTAGAAAGTGCATTCGACACAATAAACAGAGCTGATATTATTAGAAAACTTGAACAATTTAATTCAACGAGTAATATTCTCATCTTTATAAACAATTTCTTACAAGAAAGATCATTCAAAGTAGTTGGAAACGGGAAAACGTCTACAACACATATCTTACAAAATGGAGTCTCACACTATTCCTTCTTAGCATTGACGATATATACTCTCTTGTTCTCCCTCCAATAATATACTCGATATACGCAGATGATCTTGTTCTTTATTACCAAGGTGACGTTACAAGGACCACATGCTCCACTGATCCACTAAACTGATCCACTAAAATTGGAGTCAACTTTTTATCTGGAAAATCTAAAGTCATAAACTTCTCCAGAAGACATCACACTCGCCCTCCTCTATTTCACCTAAATGGATCCACATTGATCCGCTCTAGGTTGGATTACGGAAGCATTTTCTACATATCTGCTTCCGACACTCATCTTAAAGGTTTGAATACAATTCACAACACTTCTTTACGCATTAGCCTAGGCGCCTTTAAATCAAGTCCTTCTCGTCTTTATATCGAATCTTCAGAACCTCCACTTTTTATAAGACGGAAGCGTTTACTATCGTCTTACTCCCCACCCTTTCCCAGATAATAGTCACCCTCGAGCACATTCTCTCACAAATTTTAAAAACATCGCTAGAAGACACAGACCTAAAACACAACTCCGTTTACTACGTCCAGAATTCCCTCATGGACCAAAAAGCTACCTACTGTCCTTACCAGCTTGAACTGATACAATAAAGAAGAGACGCTCAGAACTCTCTTGGTACAAACATTTGAGGAACTTATAGACACAGCGTAATGACACAATTCTCTACACAGATGCCTCCAAAGAAAAACAGGCCATCGGCCGTGCCGTCAGTACCTCAAATACTATAGTAGTATCATATCCGCTTTCTCCCCGATGCAGTATATACAAAGCCGAACTGTACGGCATACTCAATTGGCATTGAGGATCCGCCTACTTCGCTGCTACGTATTCTAAGTCTTACTTTATGGTGTCGAATCATGGACTGTGAATAAAATCGATCTAAATCGCCTTGAGGCTTTCGAAATGTGGTGCTATAGAAGAATTTTAAAAGTTTCCTGGGTGGAGAAGATTTGAAACTCCACAATACTAGAACATCTCAGCAAGACTACTGGAATCATGAAAAGCATCAAGCAGAGAAAGCTGGAGTATTTCGGACATGTATTGAGAGGTCCCAAATATAGTTGCTACAAAATATCATGCAAGGAAAAATAGCATGCAAACGCAGTTCAGGACGGAGAAGAACCTCATGGTTGAAGAATTTGCGAGATCTTTATGGTGTTGATACAAGCATGCCATTTAGGGTGACAGTGAAAAAAATTAAGATAACTATGATGGTAACCAACGTTCTGAAAGAAGATGGTACATGAAGAAGAACTGTTTGTTCGGAATACTCAAGGCATTAGACTCGGCCATTGCTAATGAGAAATCATTAGCAATATGCACCGATTCTCTCTCCTCAATTAACTCAATCAGAAATATATACTCCATACACTCCACTGTACAGTGCATCCACAGTATCTGCCAACAGCAGTCCAAATGGTGTTTCAAAAACTATCATCTGGATACCATCCCATATTGGTATCAATGGAAATAAGAACGCTGATCATGCAGCAAACTGGCCTACTCCTTAGAAAATCTGGAAAACATATAACTTACCAAGACCTAAAGGTCAGTATCAAGAACAACGTACTTACTAAGCACTTGGCAAATACACTGGAACGTGCAAAATACAAAACTACGCACAATTCAACCAACTGTTACCTCTATCACCATGCCTCAAATGAGCAGAAAAGACAATATTATTATCAGAAGGCTGAGAGTAGGTCATACTCTCTTACTCATGGATAACTGATGTCTTCTGAAATCTATCCTCGCTGTCCTTAATGTAATTTTTGTCAACATTGTAATGAGTCCTTAACAGTCCAGCACAAATTACTAGAATGTGTCCACTACAAACCTCAAAGATACTACTACAACTTTCAAAATAATTTAAGTGATCTACTTGGTTCTACAAACATGTGCAGTGCCATAATTCGTTTCCTAAAGGACTGTTACCTTTACTACTTAGTGTAATTATATTAGGATGTTGCTAATGTATCTTAACTTGTATATAAACAGATTGTATACATTTTGTAATAAACTTTGTACCAGTGTCAATGGCCAACAGTTGCCGAGACACTTTAACTTAAAATTTCAAAAAAAATCAAGTGCACTGTGACGATTTTCTCACTTTTGTCATGTTATAAAATGGTAGCAAAATATCAAGTTATGATTGAATTTTTAGGCATAGGGGTAAGGGTTCTAAGGGTTTAAAATGTTATGTGAAAATGTAGAAAAATATGGTTAATTTTCTCATTACTCTTGATTGAAAGTAAACAAATATTCATTTAAAGAAGCGCAAGAGAAACATTTTTCGAGACACGGAAAAGCTGTTAAACATTTTTTTTCGCATCGGTTCGTGACTTTCTCACGAATGAGGTGAAGATTTTCTACGAATATATTAATCTTATAAGTTTTTTAAGGTAAATAACTTAATAATTTTAATTGGATGTAATTCAAAATAACTAAAAATTATCATTTTTTGGAATTTTATGTCGTTTGCAACTATAAGGACTCTAAAAAAGTGTATCGTAAATTGATACCGAGGATGAACACGACTGCGGATTTGGTCAACATCGTGAAGGGACGTAAGCTGTAGTACTTGAGACATATAATGAGAAATCAAGGCAGATACGAGCAATGCATTTTGTAAGGTAAAATTGAAGGAAAAAGGGTCCCAGGACGAAAAAAAATATGCTGGTTTGCTAACCTAACAGCATGGTATAGAAAAACTTCAACACAGCTGTTTCGTATAGCAACCAATAAAGTCATCATAGCCAGAATGATCGCCAACGTTCGGAATGGACAGGCACCCTAAGAAGAAAAAATCGATACCTCATACTCTTTTTATAAACATGACAAAATTAAGCAAATTGTCCTTTTAAAATAAGAAATGCAGACTAAAACGTACGTGAAGCGACTAAACAAAACAAAAATCTTACTGTTTCTTGCACTGTTGTAAATTTCAAATCTTTGGCATCGTTTTCTTTGGGTACAGCTCCTGCCGAACTCATGATATACGACTTAGATGGCGTTAGGATCTTGACAACGTTCGGATATAATGCAGCGCACAATATCGATGATAATAAACGAATATTTTCTCCATTTCTGTTAAACTGAAAGTAAAATAAGAATTTAATTAAAAATCTTCTCTTTTTCAAATAAAATTAAGGTTGATCTGCACCCACCAAAAGACAAACTACACATTCAAAAAATTTGAAAAAATTTGAGAAGGTGTATGTGGCAACTTGAAGTATTTTGACAAATTTTGAGTAAACTTCATGTTTTCGTTTACGAAAAAACTCTAAAACTACTTTTTTCCAAGTATAAAGCGGGAAAACCAGACATACCATTTTGTTAATTTTCTTATAGAATAAAGATATAACCCTAAGATATACTTATGAATTTTTTGAAAATTTTTGAATGTACAGTTTTGTCACAATGGGAAAAATAATATGTTCCGGCTTATAATATAGTTACCGTTAAGAAACCGGAAAAAAATTTAATAACAGCATATGTAAAACTGTAAAAGTGAAAAATATTTGCAATAAAACGTTGAATATTTTTTCCTAAACATATGAAACATCTCATTAAACAAGAATTATATCCTGAACTGTCACCATCAAATTGTATCGTAGAGAGATCATCGATAGATTGCATTACTTTCGGCCTCGAAAAGCTTCAAGCGAAGCGTCATACTACCAGGGTTGCCATATCAATTATTTTGTACAACACTTTGGTAGATAACAAGATTTAATAAGAATGTTATCGGTCAAGCTATAAAAAACGTATTTAGTTTTTAAAAACCTAGACGTTTTTAGGTAATTATTTTAGCATTTATAAACAATGGTGTTGCTTGCATAACGTATTAGTGGCAATTTTTATATTAGTATAAGCATTAGTTTTTCTTAAGAAATTCACATTTGTCAACATGTATTTTAAATCTTGTTTCTCTTAACTTCTCAAAATCTTCTTAAAATTTATCATATGTGTTCTTAAAAAGAGGTTGAAAATACAATAATGTCGTCCATGTAGACTAGATATATTTCTCCTGTAAGTCCCTTTAGTTCATTTTTGAGTCCGAATGGCATTCTCAGATATTCATAGTGACCATTTTGAACGTTAAATGCAGTCTTATAGATATTTTCTTCCTCCATTTCAATTTGATGGAATCCGCTGGCTACATCTAGGATGGAAAAGTATTGGCAGCGTCCTAGTTTGTCCAGAATGTCTATTAGACTTGGAGTTGGACACAGATCATCGATGGTTTACTCGTTCACCTTCCTGTAGTCGACAACTATTCGCCATTTAATTTTTCCTGGGACATCTGGTTTCTTTGGAATGACCCACATTGGGGATGACCAGGGCGATTGACTCGGTCTGATGATTCCTTGATCGATCATCCTTATGGATGTGTGGATACCTATTTGACTTGGTGTAAACCAGAACTTCACCTCTGGTTCGTATATCGTGTTTTATTTATCTTTAAGAGTCTATTGAGGGTGGCGTGTGCATACAGAACAGTCTCTGCCGAGGCGTTGGGAGATATCACCGGGTGTATTCCAATGCACGTGCTAGTAAATAAAAGAGGAAGAATATACGAGAGAAGACATGGCAACAGAACGTTTAAATAAAGAAGAAAGGGAGAGGTCCATAATGGTGTTGCAAGAGGAATTGTCCGAGAAGAGAAGGGTGGCGCAGTGGACAAAGTCACTGATTTCTATTCTAAGAAGATGGATGGACTGCGGATACCGGCGTTTGGATTACTTCCTGTCGCAGATACTCACAGGACATGATTTCTGCAGGCATACCTTTACAGAATTTACAGAAATATCGGACACTGTTTCGCACACTCTATTGGTATGCGATAGATGGATAGGTGAGAGGAGCCTACTTGAGAGAGAGCTAGGCAGTAGGGTGCAATCAGTCATGGAACTGGTGGAGGAGATTCTTAGGAGGTCAGATCGGTGGAGAGCAGAGAGATATGTGAGGAGAACATTGGAGAGAAAGGAACAAGAAGAAAGGCAACCGGAAGGGAGGCAGAGTAGAGGGAGAGAAGAATTCAGTCGTAGCGAGGAAGTGCTAGAATGCGTGAGAATTGTGCGTGAATAAGAGATCGGGGGAATGCCGTGCCGATGTTGGGTCGGCTAGCGCGCGGCCTCAGATATCATCGTGGCCACGCTAGACGACTCCTGCATAACCGAGGCTGGAAGGTGGTTCTGCCCACCTTCTAGGACGGTATGTTTTGAACATTGGGACCACCTCCCTCATAAAAGAAGAAAAAAAAAGTTACTTCTCAGACTTTAAAAAATGTTTAGTTAATTTTAATTAATATTGAATTCAATCACGTATTATTATTAACTTTTATTAAAAAATACCTAAAATATTGTGTTACCACTACATTAACAAAGAAACATACTGGTAAATGTCATTTTAAAAATACATGCCACAATTTTGACATGTCGGTGTCTCAGGCCCTATTACCCTATATGCATAATTAGAATGTTATCCCTGGAAGGTTAAAGTTAAATGTATCTGCAGAAAAACAATATTTATAAAATCAAACGTATTCCTTACCTCCGCACCAGTAATTTCGTATACATCATCCCAACCTAATCTTCTTCTCGTACTTAAATTGACTGGTACAAAACCTATATCGACTAAGAGTTCCAAAAATTGCTTTTTTACATCGGCAATAGTTGTTAAGGTTCGGTACGAAAGGAAATTTTCTGCAGCGAAGTGTCTTGCGGCTACAGCAGACTTTTTGTATATTTCAAGAAATTTCTAAAAAGAAATAGATACTTAAGCATACTTTAATATCCTTTTCTAGTGTAATTAGTACTTAAAAAACATTATCGTAAAGACTACTTTTAAAAAAATATATATGAAAGCGGAAGAGTTACTTCAATCGTCCAATACCAAATTCATAAAAAGAGTACAATCAAAAATAATAGGAATCTTCTCTTCATTGCTTGTAGCAGTCAATATGCAACAAGCTATAGTATAATACATGTCACCTAAACGACAAATAAGGTAGTAATTATGCTTCTCGACTTTAAATGAATACAAACGGATATATTAAATTAAAAACTATCATACCAGTAAATATGTATGTCTTACCTTATAGGCTATTAACGTAGTTACATGATCGCTCATACCAACAGCGAAAGTTTGTTTCTTTTTATTAGCTTCTTCTCGTTTGCCGAATGGAGCTACAAACGGAGATTTTGAACTTAAACATGCCGCCATTGTTAGAGCAGCATCGACACAGCCAAATATTGCACCATAAAGTATTAGTTTTCCTACAAAGAAGTAAAAGTTGTAAATTTTAAAAAGAAATATACCCTCAGAAGTAGATTTATACTTCTACTTCTAAGTAGATTTGTATTTCTATCAAAAATTACTCCCAAACCGGATGACCACTAGAATTACCAGTCCAGACCAGAAGAATTACCAGACCAGAAGAATTACTAGTCCTTACATTATTGGGATGGTAACAAACAGCAAAGATGGCTAAGGAACAAAAAAGAGCGCGATACTAGTCATCATACCATGGAATCCTCCAACTAATTCTTTAGACAGAGTTGATTCATAGGTTGCTATGCATACTACATCTACCATAACTAATACCAAAGAAAGCATTACAAAAAAGCAGAGCTGTACTTCCCCAATCCATAAGGAAGAGAATACAAGGCTCAAAGATCGAAGATAGAGAATTGGACAGACAGCACTGGAAACTCTATTAACAACTCAACTGTACAATTTTTACGCAATTGTCTAAAAATCTAAGCAGGTTTCATACGTCAGATATTTCCTTAAGATTTGTATAATTATATTTGTGGACATTTTGGACATTTGTGGATATTTATGGACACTTTATAATTATCTTTGCATATGTACACTATCTAAAATGATTTGTGCCAAACCAATATCTTGAATTAACTTTACGGTTAAATTCTTGGTTAGTCCAGCCATGTCGACAATTTAAAACATTGTTATGAATCTCACAGACTGAATTGGAACTAAATTTGTAGTTTTAATATACTTGTCACACCGCAGCTTTGAAGAGGGACGACGAAATAAATAAAAAAGGATCTAACATCTTAAAGAAGTCAACAGCAGTAAATTGCTGCCAATGCTGCCATGCACCCGGTCGTGTTAAATCTAAAACATATTTAAAACTTACCTATTCTTACGTCCACTGGTAAAGTCGCCAAATGATGACCCAAAGGTGTCAAGTTTTCATGTTTATCCAACGCACCCACATTTTCTAACCTTTTCACAGCCGTTACTATATTTTCCAGTGTGGGTGGTTCAATAAAGGAACCTAAAAAAACATCCACTGTTAATACTTGGTCCTAAATAATTGGAATAATAATAACGCTTTTTATATATCTTAAAAATCAACATAAATGCAGTTTTTGTTTTTTTTTACTTACTAGTTAAACTTTACCTATCGCTAAAATAAAAATAATCGACAAGGACAAGTATCTGTCAAATTAAAGCTCTCGTATAAATAATAATTGAAAAAAATTAAGTCACTAAACAATAATATAACGCCTAAACAATAATATAACCCATTTAGTGATCTAAATGGTTTTTCGACTATCTGAGAAACCTATCACATAAAAATTGGAGGACATGCCTAAAGTATTCCACTAATTAAAGGCTTTCATTTGACACAAAGCTTGGCGTTAAGTGACAATTACATTTATGCTTCCTATAAGCACAGTATAATTTAACATATGTTACGGTTTCTTGAAAAGAAAAATGAATAGTTTCTTATAACTTACCTAAAACCTGCACTACATCTCTATTTTCAAAGTTTTGTAACACTTTGATATTTAATATTAGTTGTTCTAAGGGTATTCGATTAATTTCTGGAATTGGTTGAGGTAATAAATTATGTCTAAACCTAAAAAAAACAAAGTTAATTTCGTCGACGTACGAATGTTAAGTGATTATATACTGAACTGAATGAATAAAACAATTTTATCATTTGCAATTCTACGATTTGTCAAAAAGAGTAAATAAATGACAGCCTATTTGACAGATTTAGCTTCAATAATATGGCCGCTATAACTGTCCCAAGTTCGGAAATCCCCATTGAAACACCCTGTATATAAAAATGTAGTTTTCAATTTGCAACTTCCAATATTTATAAATTAACCGCCTTTTAACCTTAAAGTGCAGCACCAGTATGAATGTAAACAAACCAAAATAAATCATCAACATGAATCATCAGCATGAATGTAAACAAATCAACATTTAATAACTATGAAGAAAAGATGAAATGACTTCACATTTTAATTACTTTATTCACAGGTACACCAGAAGGAGGAACCAACCATGATTCCTGAGTATCTAGGCGCGGGGCATGGGTTTGATGATCAGACCTTACAGACGACCAGCTAGAGAGAAAAGCAAAACTATTTGCCGAATCGGCAACTGATGATTTTCTTGCTCATATGGATGGAGAGCTAGTGACCAATGCCTTAATCCATGTCACTGGATTTTGATACAAGTTTCAGAAAAGCAAGTACAACAGGGAGAAAGACGAATAACTCGACTCCTTACATGAAGCAGCATCATCGCAGGAAGGCCTTGTCGAGTGCCTCATTTCGCAATGTGAGCGCGTGTGTGTATATTTCATATAATACTTTAGTTGTATTTCATGATCATTAACGTAAAATCTAACACAAAGCTTTAGAAAAAAGTCTAATTAGAGTAATCTGCGAAATAAAAATGATCTTTTTGTTATTTTGGATTTCACTTTCACCCATTTACACAGAATGACATAATATACATAACCTTACTTTTAGAAACAAATTTTAAATATAATTCTTTACGTACAACCTTTACATTAACATGAATAATAATAGTGACATAAATGTGACGAATTGCCAACCAGCGACATTTTAAACTAAAACCCAAAACTTACTCTAACTACGATGACTTGATATAAAAGGAAACAAACCTGTGATTGGTATAAAGATGTATACACACTCCACTCATTACTCTTCCAGCCCTACCCTTTCTCTGGAGAGCGTTCGCTCTGGTCACCCAAGTTGTTTCTAAACTTTCCATATTCCTATTAGGGTCGAAACGTTTTTCCTTCATTTTACCGGAATCTATAACGAAGACGCAATCGTCGATGGTAATGGAAGTTTCTGCCAAGTTGGTTGACAGGACGATTTTTCTTTGGCCAGGGTTGGGCTTTCTAAAATGTAAATAAACTATTAAATTATTTTTTGTGCAAATATTAATGATTTTGTGCAGTAAGTTATTTTGAGTATATGCTTCATTCACAATAACTTATATACCATTGTCTTTGCCATATTCGCCATTTGCAAGTTCCGAAGAGCGACACCTAGTGGCATAAATCAGCGAAGGTGTTAGCACTATTAATATTTTAATAATATATTAGGCGCAAATAAAGTGACTTAAACTTATTTATTTATTACAATAATTATTGTAATATATATCAATAATTAACTTGGAAACATTTTGAATTGATTTTTAACTGTAAAAATTCATAAACATATTTTTTATGTTTAGATTTCATTATTTGACATTGTAGATTGGGGTTATGGGGATATTACAAGGTAAACATTGTATGCATGATCCTATGACAAATGTTTTGTTATAGTATCATGCATTGTATGTAGGAAGTAAAATAAATTATTAAATTGCAGCATTACTATTAATATGAATGCAAAACCAAAAACTCGAATCCAGAAAATAAATCATATATCTCTTAAACCAACTACTAAGTCAAAGGGAAAAACTTTAGTTGTGACAAACTATGTTAAGAATGTAGAATAATTAAGAAAAAAATGGGCAAAGCTATTTAATTCAAACAAGTGTCCAATTGCAGTATTTATTGGTTTATTTATTTTTTTTAATTTATGATAAAAGAATGATTACAGATGTTTCTTGCAATTGTGTGTACAATAAAAGTAAAAAGTGCAAGCATGTTGCTGGTATTATTTATTTTGTAAATCACGAAGAAATTTTATCGAAGGTATATCATGAAGAGTAGTGTGGTAAACCCAGTATACGTCAAATAGCCAAACAAAAATACTCTAAAGGCAAATTCTACGAGATGAGAACCAAATCTAAAAGCCCAAAAAGTATTTCAAAATAATGCGATGACATTGATAATATATTAACTTTAAATAACCGTTTACCTCAACTAATCATTTAAAAGACAGATAAGAATCATAAATTAATGTGCAGTAAAGAAATTTTAAAGCTATCTTGTGATACCCTTAAACAATCAAAAGAAAAACATTGGTTTTTAGCTAAAACAAAGAGAACTATTAGCAAGTAAAAATGCATATGAAAAAAGTGTAGAGAATCAAAAACTATAGAAAAAGTATTATAAGAAATGATTTGTGATAAACCATTTTCTACTAGATCAACAAAAGAAATTTAATGTACAAGTAATTTTAACTGGATTCACTGTCAGTGTGTTCCAACCATAGCTAGGAGTAAGTTTTGATGGTGTTTTAGCCAAGAATAGAATCATTTTAAGAATAGTAGAATTTAAATGCCACTGGCACCCATACCAGCTACTGACTCATCTTGTATTGTATCATACACATTTTCACTCATTAAATTGGCTGCTATTTCTGACTCTAAATTCTTTAAACGCAGTTCATCCACAGAACTGATTATAAGTAATGGTGATCTTTTTATAGATAACGCTTTTTGAAAGACTTATGTATATTTAGAGATGCATTTTAAATTAATTTATGCTCCAAATTTGATGAAAATATTGTTGGTACCTAATTAGGACTTTTAAGCCCAAGTTCATAATGACAACCTAAAGTACACTTTAACCAATGTTCATTTTAGACTAAATTCTTCTTCTTCTTCTCGTGCCACTCCTAGCGGAGATTGGAAATCATCATGGCCACTGCGACTTTGTTAGCAGCGCGCCTAAAAAGTTCAATCGAACTACACCCGAACCGTTCACGTAGATTACGAAGCCACGATATTTTTCTTCTTCCCACACTTATTGTGCCCTTAATTTTGGCCTGCATGATGTTTCTTAAAAGTTCGTACTTTTCACCTCTCACAATGTGCCCCAAGTATTCCATGTTTCTAGTTTTTATCTCATTTAGAATTTCGCATCTTTTGTCTAAAGTTTGGAGTACTTGCGTGTTAGTGACGCGGTCCATCCATGATATTCTGAGAATGCGCCTATAGCACCACATCTCGAAAGCTTCGATGTTTTTTATGGTCAACTGTTTTAGTGTCCAAGACTCAACTTCATATAACAGAGTAGAAAAGACCTAACACGCAGCATTCGTATTCGTAATTTTATATTGATATCACGATTGCAAAAGAGTTTGCACATTCTATTAAATACTGATCTAGCGATTTCTATTCTACATCTAATCTCTTTTGTTTGATCAGTATCGTCTGTGATCCAAGCACCTAGACATTTATAACAGGGCACACGCTCAATCGTTGTATTGTCTATTACAAGATTAGCTCTGATGTTATTTGATTTCGTGATTACCATAAATTTAGTTTTTTTCAAATTAATTTTCAAGCCGTAACTGTTACAGTATATATTGAGACTTTGAACGAGATGTTGTAGTTCTACTAGCGTTCCCTTTGGGAGAACTGTATCGTCAGCATACCTTATATTATTGATCGTCTCACCATTTATTATCAGACCAAGATCTTCTTCCTCGAGTGCTTGTTCACAGATAGCTTCACTATACAGATTAAATAAAAGTGGCGATAAGATATATCCCTGCCGGACTCCTCGACGGATTTGAATTTCTTCTGTTAGTCTGCCCTCAACCATGGCATTTGCTGTTTGATTCCAATATAGATTGCATATAATTCGAATATCTCGGCTGTATATATTTTTCTTTATTAGAACTTGTCTTAGTGGTTCATGTTGTACTTTGTCAAAGGCCTTTTCGAAATCAATAAAGCAGGCGTAAATTTCTTGGTTCATGTCTAAGCATCTCTGTGAGAGAACGTTCATTGCAAACAGAGCCTCCCTTGTACCCAGCCCTTTTTTGAATCCCATCTGAGTGTTACTGATGTCTACGTCTAATTTCCTATAGATCCTATTATGGATTATTTTTAAGAACAGTTTTAGAGCATGACTCATCAAAACTATCGTTGCGTATAGACTAAATTGCATAACTGTATCTTTTGTGAATCCAAACCTTTCAATGAAACACATCATATTGGTTTAAATAAATAATTCTTTTCCTGTCAACTTTTGGGTGGCGTAATCCGAACTAAGAAATATTTAGCATTTTTTTTTTAATTTGAGAAAAAAATTAAAATTGTAAACAAACTTGAACCAAAATGATTGTTACTGAAATTTACACTTTAAAGTGAACTTTAATCTAACGTTTACTTAAAACTTATTACAAAATCGGGTGTAAGAATGCAGAATTTGGGTTATATTACTTACTTCTGCTTTATTATGATATAAATCCACTTTTCTATTTGCATTAATTTGTGCTTAGAAGTTGGAAACCGATAGAACATGAATTTATTATTTTTTGTTGTATTTTATTGTTGTATTTTGTGGTTATACAATCTATAACACATAATTTACGAAATCCCATTTTCTTAGCGTATGAAATACGCTAACAAAGTTCCGCTGCACGCGCACGATCGTTTCTCACCCCCCCCCCCCAAGAATTTGCATACAGGCGAATACTGTAGCATTTCTTTATTATTGGTTAAGCCATCTTTTATGTGGGTCCTGAAAATGGGCTGAAATTGTAGAGCCAAAAACAGTCGTCCGTTACAAAAAACCAATTCAGTGTTTTCTTCTCTATTTTTTACCTATTGAAAATGGACTCACATTTCCAAAAAATTATTCATTTGATTATGAGTCCGTTGAAATTTGATTAATTCCCAAATAAACCATAATCTTATTTTTTTGTAATGTTCGATAATGTTCCAATTGTCATCACGTGCTTAATGTTGTAAAATATTCATTATTTCAGTTAAATAGTTTAAAAACCAATGAGACTTTCTAAAACAATAAATTAAAACGATTATATCAAAAGATACTACAACTGATATCCAATGAAATGAAAATTGGAATACATGTAACCTCTGGTCTGACCAATCCAACTTTTTGCTGTCAGATGTGTAAGTTGACAATAAGTGAAATATGAAGTTACAAACGTAGTTATTTCAACTTCTTAAGATGGTAGAGTGTGGCATGCGCGAAACAAAAGATTCGTAACTGCCCTGGACGGGATCGTCACTTCGATATAGACAGTCAAACTGAAGACTTATGACGTTTTCTTCAGTTTGTCATATTCATTTCTAGCTAACTGTCTTTTACTATCGAATTCTTCCTGAGTTTTAATAGGTCATCCTCTGGCCTAGCCTGCTAACCAAGCTGCATTGTGTTGTGAGCACATCTCTTTTATTTTTGTTAAATTGGCCATTACATCAGCCAACTCAATATTCATGTTAAATTGGTACCACAAAAGCCCACGTTTACAATTTTTGTTACAAAGTGTGACGAAATGTGTTTACTATAAGTGCCACTTACCTGAATATAGCTGACTGTTCTTCACTGGATAATGACGAATGAAGAGGTAAAATGAGATACTTTCCTCGTCTCCTGCCTAGTTCCGGATGAACGTTTAGTTGATCATATAGTGTTGTTATCTCACCAATTCCTGGCAAAAACACTAGAATAGTTCCTACTTTCGGATATTGATGATCGCCCGATACAATCCACTCTAAGACGTGTTCGATGAGATCGTAGTTTATCTTATCCGGGTCCATTATGAATATATTTTTACACGTCGTTATACTATAACCTAAAAAATAAGTTTAAAACTCAATGCCAATTATTTTTGCAGACTCCTCCAGGGAGTCGATAATGTTCTTTGTTAAATTAGTGGAGAAGTTTGCTAAACTAATGATGTTTGCATCTCAATTATAAAATGGCAAGGAGACAATTAACCATCAAGTTCCAATACAAAACACTTCCAAATAATCCTAAATAACTAAATTTAAGAAACATCTTAAAAAGTCAGTGCTATATTGAGAAAAAATTTGGGAAAAAATTTTTTTTTGTGCAATTCTTGCAGTTTTTAAGTTCCGAAATTCATAATCCTTTTTTGTAGTGTACATCGTTGTTTGTTCATCAATATATTTCGAGGCGTTTTTTACGATTTTTGTTTTTTTCAGAGTATCAGAGAGTTAGGCCGATGCCTCAATCCCCTACTCGAAGGACCATAGTTTAATTTTGGAATTTTCCTTCTCCTAGACAATTTGCTACGGCTTAAGAGCATCATCTACTCTTCTAGTTGGTCATCTACTCATTCTGCTGCCATTTCCGCGAAATTCGCAGTTTCGAGTATCTTCTTTTCCGCCTTCATCGCCGTTTTGAGCTTCGTCTGCAATCCTAGACTAAGGACCCGTAAAAGGTAGTTTCAGCTGGCCCTGCTGAACCTTGGTTTTTATAGAGATGTTACTCCTATATCAATTCTTTTTCCGGACTTAATAATTTCCGGTCAAAAATAAGTTTAAAATAACTTACACTATTCTGAAGTGACAAACGAAGACAAAACAGATGTGTATAGATTTAAAAATGAAAAAGAAAAAGTTGGTATGCTCATCAACAACAATCATTAATATTTATACCAAGCTAAAATGTATCCTAAATGAGCTATATGAAAAAAATCACAACACCACCTACAAGATAGTAGAATATGTGGCATAGGAAATCAGTTGTTTGAAACTGAGAACCCCTGGCTGGTGGTTACAACATATAAGATGTATTTAGCCACCATATGTGACGGTTATGGATCTGAACATATAACAAATCAATCGGAAATTATCTAGAGACCGTCGTTAAAAGGTTTATGAGGATCCAATCCGCAAGAAAATCTGAAGACTCTGGGAAATGAACTGCCAAACGTATTACCCAAAGCAGTGCAACCAGACAAAGATATCCTGACATGCGTGGAAACCTATTGCCAGCCATCATGGTATTTCTTCTCCAATCATGGGAATAGTGACGATTTTCATAGTATCGTCATTATGTACAAAATAGTAAGATATTTGTGCTATTCCAATATAGCTAAATAAGAAGGCATTGAAATTCTGTGAATCAAAACTCATGCGACTCCTTAAAGCCATACACCAAATTTAATTAAGTCTCACGAGACCATCCCACTTAAACCTTTTTCTTAAGGTGCCCTATCCAATTAGTGGATGATGGCGACAATTCTGGCATACTCCTCTCGATCTTGTGTGGCTCTAAAAAGTGCATGGGCATCGAGATTTGTCCAATCCCTTATGTTTTTAAGCCATGAGTACTTCTTTCTGCGATCCCCCTTTTTCCTTCTATCTTCCCTACCATAATACGCTTTAAGAACTGGTACTTAGAATTTCGATATATGACCCAGATAAGCAGTTTTTTTCTTTTTATTATTGGCAGCAATTCTCGTTCTCTGCCTATTCGACTTAATACTTCGACATTTCTTGTGATCTGTCCAGGGAATTTTAAGTAGTCTTCTAAATACCCACATTTCATCACATTGGCCTTCATGGTACATGTTTCTACACCATATAGCAGTGTATAAAGCACACTTATGTAACAAAATTAGATTTGAATTACCCTGGGGTGCAAAATTAACCTGACAATCATATTTTTTTATTTTTTGTTGGTGTTTAGATCAAAACTTGTGTAATTTGTTTGAATTGTATTTTATGCATTAAATGGCGATAACGTTTGTTTCTTATTTGAACCTGTTTAGATGTTTTGTACGAAAAACAACACTTTTACAAATACGTTTCGTAATTATTGTGAAATGATGGTTTAGTATTAATTTTAGTCTGTACCTGATTATAAGTTCGACTGTAGGTTTGTCTATTGTCTTCTGTTTAAAATTTGAATTAAGAAAATTATGACAGCAGAAGCACAAGCTGTTGTTTTACAGAATGATGGGAGGAGCATTCGTTACATCACAAATGTTTTAGGGATTTCTGTTTCAAGTACAGTATTTGATGGAATACAAAGATTTCGGGAAACAGGACAATACACCAGGAGACCAGGTCAAGGTAGACGAAGAACCAAGTCAAGTTGAAGATCGCTTTCTTAGGTTACAAGCGTTACGCGATCGTACATTATTAGCACCAGTGCTTGTTCAAGGATTAAATTATGTCCATAAAAACATAGTTTCCGTTTATACCGTTCGAAGACGCTTAAATAAATATGTTTAAGGTCCAGAATACCTCTCACGGGACCTCTATTAAAAACAGATTATCAGAGACAACGTTTACACTTCGCTTGCGAACATCTTAATTGGGGTGTTGACGATTGGGGTGCTGTGCTTTTCATGGATTAATCAAGAGTTAACAGATACTCATCAGATGGACGGTCTAGAATATGTAGAAGAACTGGGGAACATTATCAGCAATGCTGTTTGGCAGCACTGCTGTTAAGCAATATGCAATGCAGCATTGCTGTTAAGCAATATGCAATACAGCATATCAACAATGGCCCCCAAGGAGGGCAGACTTAAATCCAATAGAGCATGCATGGGATATTCTGGGACGACGTATTCGACGTCGAGTGAAGTCGAGTAAGGTGAGTTTGAAACCATGAATGATTTTTTAGCAAGCAGTTCGAGGCGAATGGTGAATCCGAAGAATGTCTGATCGAATGAGAGCCGTAATTAGGGCCCGTGCAGGTAATACACTCTGCTAAATAGCGTTTTCCATAAAAAATGTTTATATTAAAAAAAAATTATTTTTGTTTCTTTGAAAATTTCAGATTTTTTGAATTGTTTATTGTTTTTTCAGTGAAACATTCTTGACTTATAATAAATTTATCTTTTAAATTTTGTTTATTATTAAATACTTAATTGGGAACATCTTTTTTATTTTTTATTCGTCAGTTTTTAGGAAAAATCTGAGTGTCACGGTTGATTTTGCACCAAAATGTATATAATTGCTATGAATCATAATCTTAGTCATCTAGATGTCAGTATCATAGCAATATATGAAATCAAAAATATTTTAAATATTAAAAAGAAGTATTTCAAGCAATTATAAACTAAAATACAATAGAAGTCCTTTAAACATGTTCTTTAAAAAGAAATGAAGTATTTAATATCAATTGCATGATGCCCAAAACTAATTTTTAATGCCTTCGACAAACTTTATGAACACCAAGATAGAGTATAATTTCATCAAATCAAACCGTGTTCACTCTTATCATTTATGTGAATTGTACTTACCTTGATACCTAGCCAAAACCTGAATTGCATTTAAACTTTCATCTTTAACATTATCCCTGGGTTTCTGATTACTATAACCAACTTCATTGGCGCTCATCATTATTTCCAAATAATCTTCATCTTTTTTCAACTTTCTGCAATACTCCGAACCATCTTCCATGACATATCCAGTCGTTTCCAAAATGTCTTCTAGAAAATATTGCTCTACGGGAAATGTTCTACCAGGAATATCAATCACCGGAATATCACCGAAGTACTGGGAGAATAAAGAAGCGTTTACAGTGGCACTCATCAAGATAACTTTTAGATCTGGACGAATTTGAAGGAGTTCTTTCAAGATCAAAAGGAGAAAGTCGCTAAAATGTATAAAAAAATTGTTACAAAATATAAAGAAATGTTTAGAAATACATACTCATATATATATATATATTATATATATATATATATATATATATATATATATAAAGGATCACTCAACAGAGTGGGCTCTTATATCGGTCAAATTGACCGATATAAGAGCCCACCACTCTGTTGAGTGATCCTTTTATATATTGGAATTTGACGGTCGTACTCCTTTTTCCGATATATATATATATATATATATATATATATATATATATATATATATATATTATATATATATATATATATATAAATATATATATATATATATATATATATATATATATAAATATATATAAATATATATATATATATATATATATATATATATATATATATATATATATATAGTCTACAAGCCCATGGGAGAAACTATGCAGTCAATTCTTATCGGTATATGTGAGTTATAGGTAAGATAACTTAGGTAGGTAATACAAAAATAATGACCTGCTTCGATTCGGTGTATAGATTAATTATTTTGCAACACCGTACATTTTATCTAGGACAGAAGTCAGAAATCTAAGGCGTAACCCTTAATTTGAACCCCCATGCTTTGTGTACCGCTAAGAATTGGCGGCATAGATTCATGCTGGGTCAAATGACCCATTAAAAATATTCCATGGGCTTGCAGTTTAATACCACTTTCCAACAAAAGTTAATCGACTCTTCTAAATGACTCTAAATGTTCGTCATTTCACTCGTGATTTACTAATATTATTGTTCCGAACGTTGCTGAATGTCTCCAAAAATGGATACATTAATAAATATGAACAATTACAAAGGTGGCAGATCACTGGAGACAAAGAGAAATTACAAAAGTGAAAAAATTTACAGAGTAAGAGGTAAATGCAGAATATACTACCGACCACAGCTCCATGCGAATAGAGGAAAAGGAAAGCACTTCTGGTGGAACTATGTGGAGAATGTGGAGAATAGAGACCAGTGGAGGAAACAAGAGATCTAAGCCCAAAAATAGATGAAACAAGATAAAACGTCTTTCAATCGAGCATATCATTGGTGGTAGAACAGATGTATCAATTTATATATTCAAAAACATATGTAACTAATATTGTTTACCTTTCTTCGCTACGCTCGTGAACTTCGTCAACTATTACATGAGTAACGTTTGGTAATGTCGGTTCACTTTCTAATCTCCTTAGCAATATCCCTGTTGTACAAAAACTTAGCCTGGTACTGGAAGACATCTTGCTTTCTAACCTTATTTGATAACCGACAGTATTTCCTATTTTTTCGACTCTTTCATCGGCCACCCTTTCCGCCACACCTGGAAAGATAAATAGGATATAAAAACTGTTACTTCAAAAATCCGTTATAAAAGGTATATATATATATATATATATATATATATATATATATATATATATATATATATATATATATATATATATATATATATATTATATATATATATATATATATATATATATATATATATATTATATATATATATATATAAGAAATACTGGATATTATTGACTGTCGATATAAACAAACAACACAGTTTATTAGGGTTGCAGTCAGAATTATTGGCCGGGATGTTAAAAAAAAACACTCTTTTGACTTTTTGTCGAGCTTTCGGAATATTTTTATTCCTTTTTCAAGACACTGTAAAAGACAATTATGTAAGTATTTAAAAATAATATCACCATTCTTCAGTGTAACTTACTAGTCGTTGAGATTATTTTTATAAGCATTGAACACTCAACATTAATACCACACATTAAAATATACAATTATGGACATAATACATCATAAAATTTTTAAAAATTTGTTGTTAAAAATAGTAAAACTTCATTGATGGCATGTTTTACTGGTGTATATTAACTCATACAGAGAATGGAAAGAAAAAACAGTGTAATTAATATGTAATTAGGTGTAAATTGATGTTATCTTTCTTTACAAGCATTACTAGAGGCCTTTCTTAGGTGTATATGATTTTTAACCTGTCTTAATGGTATGCAACATATTATACAGAGGTGTAATTTTTTTGTACAGGTAAATATTTCTTTTTATTTTTGGTGTTTTTCTAGTAAATAACAATAAATGTTACTTAATTTGTCTATATCGGACTTTTTATTGATACAGGATGTGCTAGATTTTATGAAACACATTTCCAAAAAAACACGTTTTAAATGGTTCTTTTCTTTTGCCAAAATACAGGAATCATCGAACCTGAACCTAAATAAAATTTACATAGGAGAATCATCTCGTAATTTTCACAGCAGGGTGATATCACATCGCAGTGACATAAAAACCAAAAAAATCAATGCATGTGCATTGACAGAACATGCACTAACTCTAAAACATGAGTTCAGGTTCGATGATTCCTGTATTTTGGCAAAAGAAAAGAACCATTTAAAACGTGTTTTTTTGGAAATGTGTTTCATAAAATCTAGCACATCCTGTATCAATAAAAAGTCCGATATAGACAAATTAAGTAACATTTATTGTTATTTACTAGAAAAACACCAAAAATAAAAAGAAATATTTACCTGTACAAAAAAATTACACCTCTGTATAATATGTTGCATACCATTAAGACAGGTTAAAAATCATATACACCTAAGAAAGGCCTCTAGTAATGCTTGTAAAGAAAGATAACATCAATTTACACCTAATTACATATTAATTACACTGTTTTTTCTTTCCATTCTCTGTATGAGTTAATATACACCAGTAAAACATGCCATCAATGAAGTTTTACTATTTTTAACAACAAATTTTTAAAAATTTTATGATGTATTATGTCCATAATTGTATATTTTAATGTGTGGTATTAATGTTGAGTGTTCAATGCTTATAAAAATAATCTCAACGACTAGTAAGTTACACTGAAGAATGGTGATATTATTTTTAAATACTTACATAATTGTCTTTTACAGTGTCTTGAAAAAGGAATAAAAATATTCCGAAAGCTCGACAAAAAGTCAAAAGAGTGTTTTTTTTTTTTTAACATCCCGGCCAATAATTCTGACTGCAACCCTAATAAACTGTGTTGTTTATATATATATATATATATATATATATATATATATATATATATATATATATATATATATATAAGTAGATAGATAGGGTTCCTTCTGGACCAGGAAGTGACGTCACACGTCGATCGTCAAGCGTACGTATCCTCATGTATCAAAGCCACGCCCCCCTCGTGGGGCCCCCCCTCGTATATATATATATATATATATATATATATATATATTATATATATATATATATATATATATACAGTATGGTGGAAATGAAAGGAATAAATTCGTTATTTCGTAAACCGGAGACTTTAAGGAAAAATCCTGAAACCAGTCGATTTTTATTTTTAAATAGGCTATTCGTAAGAATACATTTTTATTTTTGACGTCATCTATGTGAGCGTGATGACGTCATTGCTAAAATTTTTGAATAGAAAGGGGGGTATTGTAATACATCATTTGAAAGGTCTTTTAAATACCTATTCAGCTATATCAATATGTCTAAGTAATTAAAGTTTGTAATTGTTTAAAAAAATAATTAAATTTTTATTATTACAATAAATATTTATTAAGTATTATTCAATAAATACAACGAAAGCTAAATTAAGTGCTCAAATTGTTTACCTTCGGCTAAAATACAATGACAAAGGCGTGCTGCGAACTCTTCTCTAACATTCTCTAAAACTTCCGGAGTTATTTGAACAATCTCATTACGTATTCTTTCTTTCAGTTCATTAATATTTTGAGGTCTATTTTGATATACCTTACTTTTTAAATATCCCCATAAAAAGAAATCAAGAGGAGTCAAATCAGGTGACCTAGGCGGTCATTCTATTGTTCCTCTTCGACCTATCCACAGATTTGGAAAGACGTTGTTTAAGTAGTTGCGTACCAAGACAGCATAGTGTGGAGGCGCACCATCTTGCTGTAGCCATAAATCATTTCTGTTTGGAAACAACCGGTTCAATTCTGGAAGCAAGAAATTTTGAAGAAATTTTAAATATCGAGGACCTGTTAAGTTTTCTTCAAAAAGTATGGTCCAATACACCTATTATATATTATTCCTACCCAAACGTTAATTTTCTCTGGGTATTGAGTACGGTACTCTTGCATCCAGTGTGGATTTTCCGTAGCCCAGTGCCGATAAGTTTGACGATAGACATGACCGTTTAGTAGAAATGTAGCTTTATCAAAGAAAATATTCTTTTTTAAAAACATCGGATCTCTGTTATTTCGTTCCATTATAATGTCAGAAAATTCAATTCGTCTATCAAAATCATCTTCCATACGTTCTTGTACTAAACTTACTTTGTAGGGATGCCACTTTTCCTTCTTTAGCTGTTTAAGAACTGTTGAATGGTCCATGTCATTATCTAATACTACTTGCCGTGAACTGTTATGAGGATTATCTTGAAAACCTAACACAACGTCTACTTGTTGGTTTTCAGAAATTGGTTTTCTACTACCTTTAAGGTCTTTAACATGACCCGTTTCTCTAAATTTTTTCTCAATTTTGCTTACAGTGGATTGTGAAATTGGTTCTCGACGGGGGTAGTTATTATTAAATAACGCACATACTTCTTTCTGCGTACGTGTTTTATCTCCATAACCAATCATTATGAGAATTTCAATTCTTTGCGTTTCAGTTAGCTTCATGTTCAAAGATACAAAGACTTTTTGAATACGTTTACTACAGTAATACTATTAATCACTTGACAGAAAGATAATTAAGTTTGAATGTCCAACTATCAATGTTCATATTGATAAGGTAACTAGTTTTTTTAAAAAGGTTAAAAGTAGATAAAAAAGACATTTCATTACCAGTAATGGCCTTTATAGAATATATTTTTTTGTGTCAATAATACATCATATCAATACTTAATAAATATTTATTGTAATAATAAATATTTAATAATTTTTTTAAACAATTACAAACATCAAATACTCAGACATGTTGATATTGCTAAATAGGTATTTAAAAGACCTTTCAAACGATGTATTACAATACCCCCCTTTCTATTTAAAAATTTTAGCAATGACGTCATCACGCTCACATGATGACGTCAAAAATAAAAATGTATTCTTACGAATAGCTTATTTAAAAATAAAAATCGACGGGTTTCAGGATTTTTTCTTAAAGTCTCCGGTTTACGAAATAACGAATTTATTCCTTTCATTTCCACCATACTGTATATATATATTCTAAAAATGCCCTGTAGGGGCATTTACCCTAAAGGGTATCACATCACATAACGTTTTCAGACTAATAAGTTCATCATCAGTGCAGTTACCAGGTATGCATGAGTGAAGCCACTCAATATGGGTGTAAAAACCCTTTAAATGTTGTTAACTTTGTTAATTAATAAATATCTGTTGATAAATTTAAATGATGTTTAAAACGCCAAAACGTCTTTGGCCAAAGAAACAAATTGATTCAAACACTAAAAAGAATCTCTCATCATATAAAAGTGTTGTTGCTAAATTCTACACCCTCGCTAAAATCCATAAACCTACCTTAACTATGAAACCTATAGTTTCTTCCATAGAAAGAATTTCTTACTCACTAATATTTTAACTCAAGCTTATGATTTGAATAATGATTACAGAGCTGCTTTCAAAGTTGTCGAGTTGTTTAACAGAACTGTCTTACCACATAATTATGTTGTCTTCAGTCTAGATGTGGTCTCCCTCTTCAGTAATGTTTACTTAAATGTCGTTCTACATACTGGGATAAAATTTCTGCAGTATGTATCATTGATTATCTAGCATGTTTATTGATCTGATAGAGTTCTTGTTTAATTCTACTTATTTTTCTTTTAAGAATAAATATTATAAATAAATTTTTGGCATTCCTATGAGAGCCAGTATCTCTCCAATTCTGGCTACATATGTAATGGACGATCTGTTGGATGTTGTTCTCCAGGTTGTTCCTTTTAACGTTCCTTTTATTAAAAATTATGTTGATGACATCATTATGTCGTGCCCACTAGGTTTAAAGACATTTTCAATATGCCTTATTCCCTAAGAGGATCAAAAGCGAACTGTTCCTTTTCTTAATACAATGTTTACCAGAGAACTGGATCACATCATTACAATTGATTATTATAGAAAAAAATGTAACTCTGGGAGATACCTCAGCTACCATTCTTACCACAAGTCAAGCATGAAAGTTATTCTAGTGAAACAAATGACCACAAGAGTTTGTAAACTGGCTGATCATCTTTTTAGAAAGAAAAATCTCAACATCATTTTACAATTGTTCCTAGATAATTCTTACCCCGAATCCTTACTCAGGAAAATCATCTTCAACACATCATCTGTTTTACTCAACACAGAAGTGAACACTCCCCAAAATACAGGTACTATGAAAGTTAGCTCTGATTCCCATTCACTGACTAACAATATTCCTAAAATCTCTTTTGCATCACTTCCATTTATTAAGGATGTCACTCCCACTTATAAAATATAAAAGCACTCTAATTGTGTCTTTGTACAAGGCATTGAAAGACAAAGTACCAAACTCAGATAAAAGTGATGTTGTATACAAACTTTGCTGTTTGGGGTGTGGCACAAATCCCAAAAAGTTTCCAGTAGTTTGATTCGGCACAGAGTGACATTAGGTTGCACCCTGATAGATGTTCCCTAGCCACACATGCTAACACAACAGGGCACTCTTTCGATTTTCCAAATGTAAAAATCCTATCCATGGAGAGCTATTATTCAAAAAGATTGTTTCTCGAGATAGCATTCATTTTTCAATAGAAATAAACCATTAATAAAAAGACAGCTACCAACAATTTGAGCAACTTATATTCGTTGTTGTTAACTTTAGATAAGTACTGTTATCTCACGTTAACAACATATATTGTGGATATCCTGTTTCTATGACACTAATATAGTGTTCTAAGTATCTCAGGAAGGGCTGCTCGGAATTCAACTTCTTTTCTTTTAAAAGCAACATCTTCCCAATGTTTACCAATGTCTGTTTCTGAATTTAATTTAAAGTCTTTACCAATGACTGTTTCTGAATTTAATTTAAACTAACAGTTACCGAGATATTCTATTTGTTTGTAAGCCAAAAAATTGTTTAAAATTTTAAAACATTCCTGAGGCCGCCCAAATAATTCGATTTCAATTCTAAAGAGTAGGTACGTTAGATAGATGGAGTGCTTTTTTATAAATAAAAAAATGGCAAACTTCTATATGGTCTAATTTTTGTTATAGATAAAAAAACAGATTACTAAATTATTATGAAAAATCTCTTAAAATATGATATTTGGTGGAAGTTATCACACAACTTTTTCTCCCAAAAATCAAAATGTCATTTCTAACATACACCTCACAACAGATTTGTCCTGGTCTGGAATTTTTTTTATATCTAATCTAAATATAATAAAATGGTTGCCTAACGTGGGGTGTATGAAGAATTTCGTTATACATACCTATTGCAGATATCCTTCTGGGCTGAGTACAAACGATCTCTACATGTCTATTGTCGTTGCTATAATTCTTTATCCATTCGTCAAGAATAAATTGTGGTACCTGAGTACTTTTCCCACAGCCCGTTTCTCCACTAACAACGACGACCGGCGATTGATTAATACTATTCAAAATATCTTTTTGTAAGCTCCACGCAGGCAGATTTTTCCTAACATTTAACATCTTCCTATATTTGTCATCTTTAACTTTTGTGTAAAACGATTCTATAACCTTTTTGTCGTCTTTCTGTAATTGTTCTAATGATAATAACTTTTTGTTGGACCTATTATTGCTACCTTTTTGATAATGACTTGGTTTTATTTCCCTCTTTTCAATATATTTTTTTTCTGCAAACAGTTTTTGATTTGGATGTAAAAAGTTTACTTCTTCCTTGAGATGCTGTTTTATTTCTTCTTCGTTTTGTAAAAGTTCTGTAATTGTATATACGCAAGGTATACCATCTTCGGCTAGCAGTTTAGCTTCTTCGTATAACCTCTTACAAATGTGAAGATTAACTAAAGGAGGTAGTATTGCGTTAGTTTTTAAAAATATTAAAGGAGGTTCATAGGGGTATTGGGTTATCCTAGGAAATCGAAACTCTAACTCAAATACAAAATCTTCTAAATGCGAGTTTACCTTTTTTTCAACTTTCGGTTCTATCTCGTGTGAAAACCTACACTTGGCACCAAATTTACAATTACCCCTAAGCAAATTCCTGCATTTTTCCCTCTTATCCTTTACGATAACTTTCTTTTTTACTATTTCTTTATTGTGAAATATGTCTATGAGATATTCCATTTTTAAATTCTGAATCCAAACATCGTCAGTTTTAACATTAAATGATTTTTCATAAATTGATTCTAAAGAACTTCTTTCGTCATCCCGTTGTTCCGTGAGTTCTTTTTTAGATAGCCCATGTTCGATTTCTTTTGGTGCTGCATCAAAATTGAAATATTTTTGGTAGAGCAAATATATGGAATCTTCAACATCACCTTTGCAATATTCAAATGCTTCCAGACAGTGATTTCTGTGAAATCCATAACTGTAACAAATAAAAAGAAATATAGAAAGGGAACACATATATACACTTAGTAAAACGTAGTTTATTCAATTTATTAAAGTCACTAGGGAATGTAATCTTGCCAGAAATGTTTTAAAAGATGGCCTATTAGTCGAATTGTGGCAAATGAACATTTTTCAGACGGATACATCATTCATTAAGGCAGTACAGGTAATTGCATCTTTCCTACTGGGTAATAGTATTGCCTGAGCTGGTACCGGTGCTTGAATATGACTCCTTTAAAGTTATATTGGCTATACCAGGAGAATGGTGGCTACAGTTGACGATCACTATCCGGTTGGTAAGAAACAGCTAGATTTTACTCAAAAACACATACATAAAATGGAAACTTCCCTACTGGATTAGAATTATATTCTTTGTTGAGAGCCAAATTGCACCTGTATTACAATTATTGTGCACTAACGAAACTGTAGTGGTAGTTCATGCATGTTTTGGGGTGGTATCTTTTTTGAATAAAAAACAGAACTTATGTTCATATCTAGTGGTGAACGAAAGGTGGTTTTCAATAGCAGACAAATACATTTCAGATATTCTCTAAGACCATGTTTCCCTGACACTGGCATTATAACGCTCGATGTCACAATAGCTCAGATCATCCAGGCTAACCTCAGATAAATGAATGATTGAATTTCATCAGAGAACTACAGAATTTGCTGAAACTTACGATCAGCGATTTCTCATGTATCAGTCAGAAACTTAATAAGAGTTTTAAAAAATCACATGGAAAGTGTAATAAAAAGCAGAGCTGAAAAATCCACAATATTCCTTTTGTAAGCATTTATTTTTTTGGTTATGACATTTTTTCTTACAGAGTAATTTCCATTCATATAATTTTTTCCTAGAAATAATTTTAGTTAGATTGTTGTTACTTTAGCAATATTTATTTAATTGCACTAAAAATTACAAGTATTCGCAAGATTTTATTTTAAATTTCAAATATACAGAAAATAACATTTCAAAATTAGCAGTCTTACTGGTAAGATGATTTTTTTGGTTGTAATTAAAGTTTATACATCCATATTCTGAGTCATTCCAGAAATATTTGCTAAAAATATAGTTTTTTTCTAGGTGATAAGTAGAAAACTCATCGCTCCAAGCCCTAAACTTGAGAATCAGACAGTTTTTAATTTTGATCTGTGTCTACTAGATTCACTGTGGTTAAAATGGGCAGGATTAAGAACTCAATCAATCTCCTTATTTAAAGTTCTTTCGCTCCCTTCATTTGAAGCTTGAGATCTTGCACTGCTGTATTATGCAGCAAATGTATACAGCTTTTTGTTTGCTGATGACTAATTAATTTTAGCTGAAGATGTGGATGAACCAACTGTATGGTACGTAAATTAATTGAAAAGGTAGTGTTATTGAACTGATAGTTAGAAATTAATTATTGGAGGAGATACTGTCAAGAACAGACAGAATAAAAAACAAGATCATGTAAAATAAATGCTGGCAAATAGGCTACTAAGAAAATTAAATCATGATTGGCCACCTTATCAGAGAAGAAAATTAGGACAACCTTGAAATACATGGATAGAAGATATTCAAAATATAAGGAACAGAGGATGCCTTGTAAAAGGTGATTGGAGTACTTATCGATTTATGTACTAATCCTTGATTAGTACATAAAGTGATACAGTTATTTAAGTTCTATTACAGTCGGGTCACAATCAACACAAGGATGTTTCCATCGATTTGTAGATTTCTAAATGGTATTGATCATATAGATAATCAAAAAATGTTATATTCTCCATGAAACATTAATTTACGAGACAATAATGCCTACTAAGAAGTCTGTTTTAGTTGCTACATGAAAAATTAGTATTGATGAACATCCAGAATCATTAGTATAAATAAGTAAGAGAGGGTTGTGTATTGTCCCCATGGTATTCGGCCTATACTTGGAGCTACTGTTCAAGAAACCTTTGAAAAAGGTTTGTGCAAGATTAAAAAAAAATGAAGTATACCATTACTAGTATACCTTTCTACTTGTAATATTAAGATATGCTTAAAGAACATCTTCAACCAATTAAGTTGTTATATCTTCTATAACATTACAAACTGCTGTTCTGGCCTACACCTATGGAACACACCAAATGTCATGAAATGACATGCTGTCAGTTTCTGCAGGGGGTGTTAACCTATTTTCATTGTACTACATGCTTTCATAAATATAGGATGTAATTTACAAATTATGAGTACATTCATTACAATCCTAAAGACATCAACCAAGATAGTAAAGATATCTACAAAGTGTGTACGGACACAACAGAAGTGATGCTAATAAAAAATTAGGAGTAAAGATTAAGGAGAAAAAACCGAGATATATTTCTTTTAAAATATGATGAATGTCATCAATAACATTTCTATATTATCACAGTACAACTAATATTACATTTATAAACACATATTTGATAATATATATTCCTTTATAGGAGTAACCAAGACAGTCATTTATAGGCATGTGTCAGGTAGTTTTTAATTTTTTATGTATAAGAACACATTATTTTATATTCTTACCTTTCTAATCTCATAAGACCAAACTGTTTCAATCGTTCAGCTTCTTCTTCTGGTTGATCTCTACTTTGTGAAAAATTTACACCTCCTTTTACTACTAGAGAACCTTGTCCTACCCAGTACCTTTTAAGAAGATTGGAATTTGATTCTTCGTAGTCAGAAATGTCACTAAGTTTAAAATCCTAAAAAATAAAATAGTTCAAAGGTTTTTGTCTTTAAAGTATAACATTGTAGAAAAAATTTAATATCATTTGTTATAAAAGAAATTAAAATATTATTACACATAGTTTAAGTTTTTTCTGAACTACAAAAGAGAAGAATAAGAAGAACATAGTTGTACAGATAGGGAAGACTACTACAGAAAATATACATATACAGAGGAGCTATATAGAATATTTCTATTCTATTCTGAACAAATACTATCGATTTATATTATGTTATTCCTGATTTTTGTTTATAAACATAAGACAGACAGATGTAGCATACCAGCTGTACCTAATATTTCTGTTAAAAAATATCTAAGACTCTTCTAAACTATCTAAGTAATATAATATCCTCTAAGGAGAGGAGTTCCTAAAAGAAGGACTTCGCAAATTGTGCCGTGATGTCACACTTTATAGATATGGAGTGAAGTCTCCAATTATGTTTATAAGATCGTCGCTATAATAAAATAAGGGAAGTTTCTTCACCTTCGATTAAGTAGTTATCTGGCAGATGAAAATGGTAGCCTTTCAGTCCCGAATAAACTTACCAACAGATAAAATGACAAATATTTATTTAAACTTTGAGGGTATACAAGGCAACTATCGAACACAGTGATTAATTTAATCTTGCCCAAGTACTTTCGATCAATAGATCATCTTCAGGGGCATTTCGTCAATTGTGGCCTATCCTGACATGAGTAGAATGTCATAAATGTAAAATTTGGACATAACAATACAAAATACAATACACAAAGACAAACAAACACTTTAAAATTTTAAGGAGAAGCTACATGTTGTATAGAAGCCAGAGACAGAATGGACCCATTCTGTCTCTGAGTATAAATAGCTCAAATAAACTTACTGTTGCACACCTCCTTAACTGAAAAAAAGAACTGAAGTCATGAATAAGAGACATGTACATTCATTAGTTTTCAAAACTTTCCAATTGCAAATAGTAATCTACGAAAGACTACAAAATTTCAAAAATAAACTTTTGTTTTAATGTTGTTTGTTGTTATAATGTTTTATTGTTAGAAACTGTAAGTGAATATATTTTTTAAATATTGACTATGAGCATGTATGCTCGGTTGTATAGGTTTCCAACCACTGCCAGTTGGTAAAAGTTTAACCAAGATAACAGAAAATAATTACTAAATTTAGCAGCCAGTTCGAATTGGCTCAGGAAACTGAGTACAACATATCTCATGAAAACATGACAGCCTTATTGGTGGCAATAACAATATAATTTGAAAATAAACCATTGAAGAATAGTGAAAGTGTGATTTGTCCATTTTAAAACCAGAGTAACCTTTAATATAAGGTATCATACTTACAGGTCCATGGATGTATTTTAATGTGTCTAAAATCTTTTCTTGAATAAGCTCAGACAATGTTAGATACTGCAATTCTTCCTTTACGATTTTCTTTTTTATTGGCGCAGTTTGGCTAAAATAGCAAAGGGATAAGTTTATGTAAGGTTGTGAAATATTATTTCTTACCCAATTTTAATATCTGGAATTTCTCTTAAAAAGAAGTCAGTTTTTTCAAGACAGTCTTCACTGTTCATGTTAATAAAAAGAAATAATACCAAAGGAAAAAACACAAAATATTGAAAATATCTTCACTAGGAAAAATGAGGTTAGGTGTAATTGCAAATTTTTGACAAGTGCATGACAATTATGACACACATTCAAATATTGTGCCAGGGCCACTCACTACTCCTGTCTAATCTCATTGGTCCGCGACGTTATGTCACTGGAAGTTTTGAAATGTATTTTTAAAACATTTGCAGTTTTTACGATTTTTGTAATTTAGGTCATAAATTATTCTTTAAAATTAAAATATTAAAATATCTAAAAAAATTTTGCGTAACCGGTATATTCTTCTTCAAGCATAATTAAGGTTTTCGCTTAAATTGGTGGTAAGGTTTAACTACTTTATAGTAGAGGTCACTGTAGTAGGAATTATTTTGTTATTACATTATTAAATTTATAATATTAATGCCTCCAAATAAAAAATAATTAGTGTGCCTCTCCGCACACACAGAAATTAATTATGAGAATATTTCAGTAAGTCAAATATTACTACAATACAGTGATACAAACTTAAAATCCTAAAAAACAATCATTTTTAAAGACATTAAAGTACCTATCATTGACAAGATTACCTGAAATAGAAGCATTAACTTTAAAAATTTAAGCTAACAAAAAAATACAGAAATTAAGAAGAAAACGCTCATTTATGGTATAAAATTATGTTGAGAAAGCATATAATAAAGTTCCTCCAGAAACGCTCTGGTAGGCGCTCAATAAGAAATAAATTCCTGGTGAGCATTTGAAACTTGTGAGGGACATGTATGGGGGAGTAAAAACTAATGTTAGATTAGGACAGAGTAATTAGTCCTAATGTATTGTCATTTGTGTTGGAAACTACAAGGTAACACCCTCTGCTACTTATTGTATGCTAATGATGTAGTGTTAGTAGGAAAACTGAAAGAGATTTAGAAGGAAAACTGAAACAGTAGAGATAATCTCTTGAGTAAAGAGGTTTAAAACTTGGTAGGAAAAACAGAGTATTTACACTGTTTACGTAGAGATGGAGTTACTATAAATAAAATAATAACTTGGGATGGTGAAATGGTTGTAAAAAGTAGTAGTTTTGAGTACTCACGATCAGTGATAAGTACATAGTAAGTGATAGTAATAAGGAAACAGATGGAAATGCATGCTGATGTTACAAGTTATGACGACAAATTCGGAAGTAGTCTTAACTATTTTTAAAAGATGGCGCTATCTGTCATGGTTCTTTTCTAATAAAATTATGTTAACTTATTAAAGTTTACATTATAATGCAAAAATCATTTATTACCAAATTTAGAAAAATTATAATGAGTAGTAAAAAAATATAGTCAATCATATTTTGTTAATTTTAAACTGTATTTCAGAAACAACCTATATTTTGTCGGAACGTCTTTATTTTGAAGAACAGAATCTATATACCTAGTTATTCCATGTTCTATTCTCAATGGAATTCTTTATACTTAGTTTTATATACCTGTATTTGTTAGACTAAACATCAAGAAAGATTATAGTTTTAAGAGGACGGAAATTCGAATAATTTCTTTATAACTTAAATGCAGTAGTAGAAATCATATCAATTGATATTTATTAGATTTAAAGTGGCACATGTAGAACTGTTATTGTAGGAACGATAAAAAATGGTCATCTTTTATGATTAGTATATCTATTTATAACTTAGGTAAATAAAATATTTTCTATATTGTCCAACATATTTACTTAATTAAACAATGGTCCATACAACTACTTATTCACAACTTTGAGATATAGAACAGAAATATCCTAGAATTATTTGAGACTTATGTAAAGCAGATCAATAATTCTCAGGCAGCTAATTTAAAAATGTAGAAATAAAAAAATATATATAACCATTGAATTTAAAAAAGGGTTTGTGCGTCGCAAAAGTTGTTTCGACTTTTTTGGCATGTACACTTTTAATTTTGTCTAATTTCGCTTATAATTTCAGAAACATCAATAGAGACATTTTAGGGAAGCTCTAGTAATAATTCCGCAGAAAAAAGCATTACATAAAAAACGGCAAGACTGATGTATGCTGCAACAAACTGCTGTTGAACAGTGTTATTCATATTGTCAGATTTAATCTTCTCTATTTACACAGGTAACGTTTTTCGCCCAACTTCAAAAGAAAGATGTTTAATGCTTTTGTTTAATTTTTATTTTCTTATTTTTGTGTTTTGTTGTTGTTTGGTATATTTCTCTATGATGAGCGTGTTGTGCAGTTGATCGTCCTCTACGCGGCACCAGTCTGGACCTTGTGGACCATCACTGGCTGTGTTCCGTTGAATGTTTCAGCGGTGGAAAGAAAAGAGCTCTATAAGAGAAGAGATCCAAACCTTAACTACCATGGCCGAGAGAAGACAGGAAAGGAAAAGATCAACTGAAATACAGCAAGAAGAATGAAACAACACGGAGAATGTGTAACAGTGGACAAAGACGCTGATCTTGAACATAAGAGATTGGGTGGACTGTGTCCACAGGCGACTGGATTATTTCCTGACGCAGGTGCTCACAGGACACGGGTGTTTTAGGGCCTACATTTCTAGGTTCGGAAAGGTTGACACAGAGGAATGCCTATACTGTGGATACTCGGACACTGTGAGAGAAATGACTGAGATAATGATTAAAAATAAATCAGATTGGACTAGGGTACACAACTATATCCATGCAGTGATCAAGAAAATAGAAGAGGAAGAAAAACAGCTGGACCAACGGTAAAGGTAAGAGGGAAATATACTGGAAGTTGAAGGTAGAAAAGTGAGTCAGACTGTGTGAGTTAGATTGTGTGAGTCAAACTGTGGGGAAGGAGGAAATGCCCATCTGGGAGTGATGCCGTACTAGTAGCGATGAGGGTTCTCTACGCAATAGCTGGAACGAGACATGAAGGCCCATTGCTGACAGTCTGTTGATAAATGAAGGTAGTGTTTCTGAAGTGATGCCGGATTTACAGCTGACAGACCTGCTTCCGGATTGCTAGATGACAGAGGAGGGTCCGGTTTAGCAGATAGGTGTTCGGCGTAGACTCGGCGACGAGATGGCATTTTAAAGTACTTCGGGAACTATCGCCGGGAGTACGAAGAACGAATCCTGCACTAAGGTTAGTCAGGCGGTGTCCTGGACTGAGATGTGATTGAAAGATTCATTTTATTTTGTGCTGTTTTTATCTTTCCATAATGTAAGTGTATTTTTTCTTTCCAAAGAACCGTCTTATTCATATTCATATTCGTTGTCTTTGCCTTGTCAGCACTGTTTTAGTGTCTCCTTTTTATTGTTTTGTTAGTTTTGATATATAAAAGGTTAGTTTTACACAGGTGGCGCCGTTTTTCGCTTCCTAATTTCCAGCGTTTTTTATTGAAGTAATCTTAAATTTCTCAAATCACGACTATCTTGGTCTAGTTTTCTTCTAGTTTTCAGGCATTCTCTGCAGGTTTCCGTAATAGTTTATTCTTTTGAGTTCAATTGTGTCTAGATCAATTTTTATTTCCCTCCGAATATCTTAGTTTCTTAACCTAAGACGGCTCAACTTTTATTGTCTAATTTCAATTATTAGTTTCAAAACTAGTGTTTTATCAGCAACAGTGACGGAATCTGAAGATGTTCAACCATCAATAGCAGCAGCGACAGAATTCGGAGATGTTCAACCATCAACTTTAGCAGAAAGTACAGAGTGCAGGAGTATTTATCTGGAACGAAAGCCTATGAAAAGAGCAAAGTGACCATTACCCGAGAATGATCCTGAGGGTCCCCAAATGCTACCTAACAATGGCGGGTTTATTGGACAAGCAGTAAATATTGACACCAAGTCTGATGAATTTAAAAAGATAGTTAGGAGACAGAAAAACTTACAACTACATAAAAATCAGGTGGTGTTTCAAGGTAACAAAGAGTTACCACATAGTTTCAGAGGTTTGAAAACACCACATCAGTGCTTTAATTATTTTTTTACAGATGATTTCTATGAACATATAGCTACAAGCACAAATATGAACGCACGATTGTCAAATATAAACTCTTTATTGAAAGTAACTTCTTTAGAAATTAGACAATATGTGGATATTCTTATTTACATGTCTTTGTACCGTTATCAAACTGTGGAGCGATTCTGAGGAGAACACGCTTTTAAAGCTATTAGAAGTACAATGACAATGAAAAAAGATGAAACAGGGTATGATCCACTTTACAAAGTTCGACCAATCATTGATCACCTTAATGACCGTTTTGATTCAATACCAAAACAGCCCCGTGTGTGTGTAGATGAGCAAATGTATGCAACAAAGATGCGTTTATAACTTTGCCAATATATGCCGAATAAACCCCACAAGTGGGGAAGGAAACTTTTTATTTTCTGTGACTCCTATGGGTTTTCATATCGCTTCGAAGTTTATACTGGTGCTGGTGATAACATTGTCCTTCCAGGAACCAGATTTGGGAGCAACGTCCAATGTTGTTGTTAAGTTAGCAAAAACTGTTTCTCATTTTATGAATCATATAATTTACTTTGATAATTTCTATACGTCATTACCACTACTTGTCTATTTAAGGAGCCATGGGATATATGCACTTGGCACTATTCGTCGTGATAGAATTCCTAATTATAAGTTACCTGCTGACAAAGATAAACAAGCTATTAATTTAAAAAGAGGAGAATCCAGTGAATACGTTGGTACTGCATATGGTGTTGACATAAGCACAATACATTGAAAGGATACCAAAAATGTAAGATTAGCGTCTACTTACGTTGGAGTTCAACCATTCTCATCTATACTTCCAAAAGAGTCACCAAGAAAGAATGCCAGATATGACAGAAAGAAGAAGAAATATTTGGAGCTTGATTGTCCGCATATTATTAAAGGTATTTCATGTCCACATTTATTATTACTGAGTTCTATATTCAATTTTATTTTTAAAGTACAATTGCCACATGGGGCTGAGTAGATTTATTAGACGGCTTACTTAGTCGATATGGCATCGGACTAAAAACAAAAAGCGCTTCGCTTCGCCTTTTTTATCACTTTATCGATATGACTTTGGTAAATTCATACCTTATCCACCGTAGAATTCATGGGAAGACTGT